TTACCCAATTACAATCACACTCAATTAGACTCAAGTAAAAGAAAAAAATTATAAACTTTAATAACAAGAATTTCTAATCTAATCTATCTTGAAATCTTCGGCAGTCTGGAGTATGATTTTCCTGAAATATTAGTACACACAAATAATACAAATAATATTTTTCCAATATATGTTAGGAGAAACAATAATCAACACAATAATATTTTGGTATCATAAAAAACTCACATGATATAAAAGCATATATTTTAAAACTAAGTCGCAACACTTGGGACCACTGAAAGTCTACATAAGCATTTATTTCTTTCTCTTTCATTTTAGGCACCTCCCCACAGGTGGGTTCTGACAGATCACCTGACTTTTTAGAGTGCAATTTTATCAAGGGGGTGTTGTATATCTCTAGGATAAAAACTATTGTTAAGCCTTTTAAAACATTTTCATATATTTTACGCATTTTATCAAGAAGATCAAATTTCATTGCATTATAAACTAATTAAAATTATTTAAATTTTTTATTATATATTTCTTAAGCATATTTACACTACATAAAGTCAAAGGGCCAACTAGGATCTGTTTAGATTTCTATCCCAACTCCTTAAAATATTAATTAATAATTTCCCTACCACTCTCTCGTACAAAGACTAGACTCATGGATTTTAAATAGGGGTAAGTCTAGCATTTGTATTGCATTTGCTAGGTTTGTGTTACTATCATTCAGTGCTCAAAATTGATCTAGGATTTAGGGTAGACTCAAAATCTTAAGACCCCATCCTCTGGGAATCTAATCCCAACTTTTTAATAAATCGACTAACTCAAATTAAAACTTATTACAATCAAAACAAAAAGCCCAACATATAAAATAGGTTGAGGCACTTCTAAATTATTTTAGAATCTCAAAGTGCTTCTAATTCTCCTCCTTTAACTGCCAAAATAAGAGTTCAAACTCAATCTAATCCCAATTGAGATTCCAAATTCACACTTCTTGGTATCAGTCCTTCAAATCTCCAAATAAAATATTCATCGATATTCTATTTAAGTATTTTTTGTGGATAATTTAAGCTCCATACAATGTAATTAACTATGAGGGCTTGTGATCATAGGAAATTTAAAGCTCAAACATATTTTTCAAAACCTTATTAGCCTTCTTTGGGAAAATTAAAATCAACGATGATCATTTCCATCATATTTAGATGATTGATTAGGAAATGATATTTTGTTCCCTAGGGAAGATATATCCTTTCCTATAAAGTCTTTGAATATAAAATTAATGATTTCTCATCTAGATTATAATAGTTAAGTATAGATAAAACATCATTTTGACCCTTAAAGATCAGGTGTAGTTCCTCCCTTAATTTCACTATTATATCTCTGATGAAATTTTTAGTTTCATTATTTGAACTAATTAGGGAATGATATCTTCACTATCTGAGGTGATATATCGTTCATAATTACATTTTGACTTTAAGACTAAAATTTTAAAATAAAATTTTCTAAAGAAGATTAGCCTTTTCAAAGTTTCAACAACAACACATGCATGTGTGCCGGTCTCCTTATATCCTCTTATAGAAATGTTGTGAATCCGGTTACGTTATGTTGCATTTTTTTCGTTGTGTATTAGTAATGCAGTTCAAATCATTTCATTTTCTTCAAGATGTTATTTTCTTTAGTACATAACATACTGGAGTGCACATCTATTTACAAATTTGTTACATGTTACATTGGGAATCTTCCTCCTGTTGCTTGCAAATGAGCTAATTTATATGGTGTGATAGCATACTGTCACAAATATGCTACTTCAGTTTACTAGTGGCCTATAGTTTTACTACTATTTCCCTTCTTTTTCTTAGAGGTAAATTAGTGATAATGAGTTTTTAATAAATTTGTCCATGAGTATTGCACTATCGGCGGGCAATAAAAAAAGGCCTACTATTACATGCAAGTGTACTACATTCATTGTGTATTTTCTTGAAGGCAGGGCCGTTGTATGCATCACATGCCTTCTACTATCACAAGCAGGTAAGTGGCATTCAATGTAGATTTTCTAGTGATGCTTATTTACATTTGTGCTTATTAAGACTTATCTATATTTTCTTAAATATATAACACATTGTGTACATAGCAGACCTCCTACAGTGGTTCATAAGTTCTTGCATTTGTTACAAATCACCCTCCCTTCTTGCAATGGATCTACGTATTTGCCTTTTATTAGATAATCCTCAAGTGTGAGAGTGGTGAAGCATTCACTACCTATTTTTGCTACGTGCATTGATTGGAAAGGTATTACATTTATTTATTACTCTTTCAGTGTTCATACTAAACGCTGCTTACATTTGCAAGACATTTGGTAAACATTCACAAATTAATTAGTTGTGGCTGTAGGAATGTAGCTACACTCTCTAGTGCACCCCTTCTACTTCACATATAAGCACATTATTTATGTTCATTTCAATCATCATATCCCTTTCCACAAATATGGGCATTGCACATCAATTAAAGTAATTAATGTGAAATTAATGATGCTTGTTAGGAGCTGTGTATATTATAAGAACTTTTCATGTAACTTTAGGCAAGCTAGCATGCTTCCTATGAGTCATACACTCTTATATATAGGATGGGCATCCAATATTCATGATTGCGGACAAGTAGTGCATATCACAAGTCCCTTATGGATGGTGGTTCCAATGCTCATACGGAGAAAAGTACTTGCACATCAAAAATTTATTTTCTCTCTTCTTCTTCTTTCTCTCTTTATTTTATACTTTTCACTCTTTTTTCTTTTTTCTTTTTGAATATTTTTCTTCTTCTGTTCCTCTTCTTTTATCTACTCTATTTTTTTTATCAGCAATAATAATACTAGTAATAATAATAATAATAGAGAGGGGTTGGGGGCTGATTTTGATTAATTGGATTGATTTTGGAATGATATAGTTATAAGTGGCTGCATGGGCTGAATTTTGAAAGTGGAATGGGAAGGGATGTATAGCATGCTTTAAAGGAATTTGGCTTGGGTTGTTTGGATAAAATTTGAAGATGGAATGGGCTAAGTGGGTTGAGGGAGGAGATGTTTTGTTGTTGGCTGCAACTATGAAGAACAAGACAAGGATGTCAACCATGTGTTGGGCTATGATTTTGAGTGTATTAGAGGATGTGGCTATTGGGTGAAGTGAGGAAAGGTACTGGAGCCTAGGATTTTGTTTGGGAGACATCGCACGTTGGTTTCCTCGACTTGAGCATTGCTGCCTCAGGATTTGCGCCAATTTATCAAATGATCTTAATCAAACAAATTGATAGTTATTCTTCGTCATTGATAACATTTTGATCAAAATAATGAAGTCCATTTTGCAATCAAATATCATTTGGGCAGTATGGCATGTCAAATTTGGATTTCGATTATCCCTTTTGACTTATCTCGTCTAATTTGACTACGAGGTGTTCTCCCTTAGGCGAATTCAACGACTTAATTGCAACGGGGAAGTTCGTTTGACTATCAGAGGTCGTTCATCTCTTCAAGTGACACACCATGATGACATGCGCTTAAATCACCATTTTTTCCTCTTTTTGTGTGTTTTTGTGCTTAAGGTGTCAATATTATCCAACTTAATTTCTAAAAGTTTATTAATATTATATGCCCTCCGCACTAATACAAATTGTATATGGATGGAGTAATCGTTACTAGTTAACTATAGTTGACATTGTACCTCATTCTGGATCATATATAATTATTTTAGTTATATTTTCATCGATGGCTAACCAAATAACACCTTGTTGACCTCTTCTGGAGTAAAAAAGAAGAAGAATAAAGGAATACAAATACATGTGCGTGCTACGGTGTCCCATCCTACCGTCGCTATAGTATCTATAGTCTACAAATCGACACCGAAGGCAACTTGCCCATACCTCACATACACTATTTCACCTCGAAGTCGCTACTATTCACATAAATAAGAGGAGAAGGAATGAGAACTTTTGATCTTCCCCACATTCCATTCATAAGCCTCGCTTCCTCTTCTCCTCCTATAAGCAAATCCTCCCACAACCCATAACCCTATCCAATTCGCAGAATCCCTAACATTAACCCGACGTCCCTACCTCCATACTTCCAGTGATCCCTTCGACTCCCTACTTCAGGATATACTCCACATCTATGTCACACTCCGACCTTTATTTCCCTCACACCTAGCTCATCGCTTGAACTTTTTTCTTGCATTGGCCCCATCTTCTATATCCCGACCTCAAACCCAAAAGCATTTCGATTCCTCCAGAGCAAGAGAGACAGAGAGAGTGAGTGCGTGAGAGAGAGAAAGAGTGAATTCCCGTACCATGCCACAACAACCATAAACCAAGGTTTAAAATTGCGTATTCGGGTATTGAGGTGTTTTCGTTCGTGAGGCGAGATGTAAGACTCAAGGCAATTTGAGGCGTAAGCCTTAAAATCAAAAAATTGCGTAAACATAAAATAATAAATTTTGTATATATTAATGATTAAATAATATATAAAACATAAAAATGCACAAGATAAATAGCAATAACATAAACATATCACATAAGAAGTTAAGAACTCACTAGTCATCAGTATTATCATCACTAATCAGTCATCACTAAGGGGGTCTTCATTTGAATCATCATTATGATGAACTGCTCTCTCCTCTTCCCCCTCTCCTATAGAGTCTAATATCTCCCAATCAGCTTCTTTTTCCTTATTATTAGTTATCTTCCTCTTCCCTAAATATTAAATATTTTTTAACAATATCATAATGAATAATAGTGTAATACATTAATAAAAGTTTAAGAAAAGAAAACTATATTATTTATATACCTTTTTTGATTTGTTCTTGAGTTGTGGTGGATGTGGATGCTTTAAGACTATCAAAGAAATCAACATTTAAATCTTCATCTTGTAATTCAGACGACATCACTTCAACTTCATCATCTACAAACCACTCATCATCAGATGCCACATCATCGCAAAGCAAAGGATCTTCATCATCCATTAATCTTTTTTTCTACAAATTTCTATCTCTGAGTCTCCTATTATACATAATGTACACCAGTGAGTTCATCCTCAATGTCGACAAGCGATTTATCCTCTTTGTATGTACTTGGTTGTAGGTACTCCAATTTCTTTCACAGCCAGATGAAGAGCATGTCAAGCCCAAAACTTTCACAGCAAAACGCTGTAATTCTGGAGTCCCATCACCAAATTGAATCCACCACTCAACTGGAGATCGTTTGGCAATTGTATCTTTTGCTTGTTGTAATCCAAAAAAATCTTCTTTGTTCCTAAAAGGTACCAATTGCAAGTCAGCATTTGATCTTTCAGTTGCATCACTTATTAGACGATCCATGCAATGATATAATCCCAACTTTATTTCAGGGTTTGTAGACTTGTTCTCTGCATATTGATACTGAGGGTTTAGGTAGTAGCCAGCGGCATGCAAGTGTCGGTGAAGCTGTAGTTCCCACCTATCATCAATAATATTCCAAATTTCCCTAAAGCTTCCCTCACTGCCTCCTAAGTTGGAGGCAATCATCTCTTTGGCTTCATCCATAGCATTGTAAATGAAACTCATTGCCGGCTTCTTCTTAGCATCCACTATCCTTAAAACATGAACTAAAGGTCTAGTGGTTGTAATGACATATAAGACACTTTGTCAAAATATGTCATTTAAAACAATCTTTCTAATCTCTTTTCCCTCAGCCTTCTTCGCCCAAGCACAACTCAACCACTGTGTAGATGTGAACATAGCCTTTAAAGGTTGTCTGGCATCTAGCATGCTCTCTAAGGTCAAGTATGTGGTGGCAAATCTTGTTGCGGCTGGCCTTAGAATTTCTTTCTTCGAAAACTTTCTCATAAGAGCTAGAACCCAAGAGTGGTTATAAATAAACTTGGTTATTTTTTTGGCTTTAGTGAGTGCATTTTTATGTTGAGGTAGATTCCCAAGCTTCTCAAGAATAAGATCTATGCAATGTGCAGCACATGGAGTCCAATACAAATGTTTCCTCTTCTCCATAAGTTTATTACCTGCAGCCTTATAAGAACTTGCATTATCTGTCACAATTTGTACAACCAAATGTTCTCCAACCTCATCAACAATGCTATCTAATAATCTAAATATGAACTCAGCATCTTTGACCTGGTCCAATGCTTCAATTGACCTTAAAAACACAGTACCATAAGGATTATTAATGAGGATGTTGATCAGACTTCTATGTTTCATATCAGACCACCCATCTGACATAATTGTTACTCCTATTTGGGCCCAAGTCTTCTTAATTTCTTTGATGCTTTTATCAGTGCTTTCCAACACCTTCAAAATCCATGTTCTTAAATCATACATGGTTGGAGGTTTGAACCCTCTCCCAAATGCTCCAACTGAACGAATCATGTTGTAATAAGCAGGTGATGTTGCAACATTGAATGGAATTGCAATTTCGTAAAAGAATCTGCCTATATCCTTACACACTCTTCTCCGCGCCTCTCTTGAATTTTCTGGGGCCATCTTCTTTGTAGTAGAAGGCCCATCCTCTGATGTGTCAATCATATAATGATCCATAGGCCTTCTAGCACCCCTAGATGAAATGGGCTTTATAGAAGAAGATGAATCCCTAACGTTGCGCTCACTCCCGTAGTAAGATCCAGCATCAACTCTATCCTCAAATTGCTTTTGTGCAAGATGTTTTGATGTGGTAGACTTATTCATGTATGACTTTATCTCATCCCTTACAGCATCAGGAACTTTGGAGCATGGAGCAACATTCTTGTGAGAGCCTGAAAGGTGTTCCTTCATCCTAGTCACACCACCTTTCACAACTTTATCACAGTAATTGCATTTCAGATAGACATATGTTTTATCACTTCTTCCTACATCCACCTGAGTGTTATATTTTCATGCTGGATCTTTTCTAAGACCTGATGCAGTCTTATCCTTATTTTTGACCATCCTGATTGAGAGAAATAAAAAGCAAACGAGTTCTTACTAATCTTTTATATGACCTGATGCAGGTCGGAGGAGACAGCAGCCTCGGACAGAAGCGTACGCTGGTCGGACGGTGAAGACAGCAACCCAACTCGTAGTCTCGCAGTAGAAGAAACCTCTAAGCAAATATGTTTAGGGTTTAATATGCGTGCTGGATGTGTTCAGTATTATATAATGTCGAGCCATCGATAAAGTAGAACACTGTGCACTCTATGCGTATTTATGCGTATGTTGTGCGTACAATCTACGTGAACATTGTATGTTTTGGAGCATATGTAATTTAATGTATGATTTTGTATTAATAGTTAATAAAACATGATTTTCTGGGTATAGTTTGAGTATTGGGAGTGTTAATTATTATATTGTGCGTACATTATGTGTATCATATGCGTTATATATGGGTATAATATGCGTTCACCATGCGTGTTTTGTGCGTGCTCTCTGCGTCAACATTGCGTATTTTTAAAAATATAAAAATACAAAAAAAGAACATTTAATGACTATGTACAATATAAAAAATATAAGAACAAATTAAAAGAACATTTATAACAAATACAATTTTACAAGAGAACCTAATGTACATCTTCAACAAGACAACAACATCAACTTTCCTACAGGAATTATGATTGATGTATTGTCCAATATAAATCATCTTGACAACCAAGCCTTCCCTTCATTACTGCGATACTTATCCTCCTCCCATGTTCCTGATGCCAATAATTTATTAACATAAACCTGGTCAGGATAGAGATGTTTATGTTTACAAGTTATTGGCATCAATTTCATGGGAAGAGGATAAGTATCGTAGTAATGAATGGAAGGTTTGGTTGTCAAAGATGATTTATATTGGACACTACATCAATCATAATTCTTGTAGCAGCTGTAACCTATTACCTATGTACATTCTATTAAAAATATTAAACCAAAATAATTACAAGAGATGCTTGCTTTGAAAAAACCATGCGTTACCATAAGGCAAGCATTCCCGCATTATATAGAGAAAAATTTAATGTTGAGCAATAGTAAATAATAAATTATAAATAATGGCTCATAAAAATTCAACACACCCTCCCAACCATATCTGCCACCCGTCAGTCCACAGCTAATGAAAATTATTATTCATGTCACGGCCTCTCAGTCCATACTCCATACTAAATATAAGTAACCAAAAACATTTAATAGAATGTGTTCGTGTTTTATGCGTACTATATGTGTAATATGTGTGTTTTTTGTGCGTGTATTATGTGTACTTCGTGCATATTTTATGCCTTTGTTATGCGTATTATTTAAAAACGTGGTCTTCAAGTGGTCTCGCATTATATAGTAGAAATATGAATGTTGAGCAATGGTAAGTAATATAGGCTCATAAAAAATCAATCAACCCTCTTATCCTCCCAACCATACCTGTCTAAAGGCTCATAAAATATTTAATAGAATTTTATAAATAAAATTTACTGCTTATGTGTGCGTGTATCATGCGTGTGTTATGCGTATTCTATGCGTTCGTAATGCGTAATTTATGCGTTCGTTATGCGTATTTTGTGCGTTCGTTGTGCATACTATGCTTAATTTATGTGTATTATCATTTACTATGTAATTTTTTACTCAAACCTATGCAAATAACATTTATACACATAATTGAAAGATATATTCTTTAGTCGTTACATCATGAGTTACACTTTTCTTCAAGTGGTCTCACATTATATAGTAGAAATATGAATGTTGAGCAATGGTAAGTAAACATTCCTTATTTCTCTACGATTGCCTTATGTGCTAACATTTCAGGTCCACACGATCAGACTGCAATCTGGAACCAACTCAAGATTGGGTAGACTAGATCTATGTCAGTTTGTAATCTTTTTCCTTTCTTGAGTCTGTTGTAATTGGTGTGGCTATAACTTGGTAGAAATTCTCTTGCTCCCTATATGATTTCTGTTTTTGGTAACATCGTCCGGGACGATATTAATATCGGCCTGGACGATCCGTCCAAAATCAGAAACCTTGATTAGGGCATCCTCATTAAGGCAGCCGTCAACTGATCGGCCTGGACGATACTTATATCGGCCAGGATAATAATCTCAATTCAGAAAGAATCAACCGCCATAATGAGTTTAGGAATTCTTTGTTTTAGGAAATCGGCCAGGACGATATTATTATCGTCCAGGACGATCTAACCCAATCATGCCTAAATTGACCTGGTATCTTTGGAAAGCATTAATGGTTTATTGATACGATCACATCGT